CCGATTAAGCGATTGAGGTGTTTTGTTGCTGGATGTAATAATGAACATAGCAGTCGTCATTTACTCCCGACATCTGAGCCACTGAAAATGCAGAGGATTAATGTTACTTTCGTTTTTGAAAGGAATGCGCCGATCTCCGATCTCCCTAAATGCGTTTAAGTTCGAGCGAATCATTCATTATCCAGCTTCATCTAGAAGAGAGGGGCGGGGTCAGCAGAGCTCATTAGCATTTAAAGCAACACGGACTAGAACGGCGTGCTGAAAAGAGAGCTGATTTTGACAGGGTAAAAAGGGTGTTTTTTTACACTACCATTGAGAGATTTTAACCAAAGTATGTTATAGACTTTTCATTAAGACCCTAAAGAATCATATCAACTTCTGGAAAATGGGCATCCGATGACCCCTTTAAAGTTATATTTAATGGGTCACACTATATGCAGTATACGGTGGCCGAGAAGTGCAAAGCAAATCACAATTCTGAAAACAAAATAACAAATTACAAACGCAAATGCAAGTCTAAAAAACAAAATAGCAATTCAGAAAGCACAACAACAATTCAGAAAACATTATAACAAGTCAGAAAACACAATGACAAATCAGACAAACCGGAAGAGGTAGATATAGTTTGAGACAGCGCCATTGGTTTGGGATTAATCATTGGTTTGTTATTAATGTTATTTTGTTTTCAAATTTGTCATTGTGTTTTCTGACTTGTTATAATGTTTTCTGAATTGTTGTTGTGCTTTCTGAATTGCTATTTTGTTTTTTAGACTTGCATTTGCGTTTGTAATTTGTTATTTTGTTTTCAGAATTGTGATTTGCTTTGCACTTCTCGGCCACCGTAGCAGTATGAGCACAAAACCAAATCTCCAGGTGCTCTCATGAGAACCAGACCGAATAACTTATGTGCACCCCTGTTTATACCACTCTTAAGAAGAAAATATATTTTTACAATAACATATTTTTATGAGTAAAAAGTATGAAGCTCCTTTGAATTAATATGGATATGGCCAATACCAAAATTTGTTGATTTTTTTTGTTAGTTATGCACATTGGAGAGCTAAATGCTATATTGTACATTATTTAATTAATGCTAACTACATTATTGTAGTGTGATGTAGCATTATTTACACAGACGGCCTATGAGGGTGACACTGTGATCAATGTTATTATTGTTATTATTGACAACAGTTGCTGGGCTGGGAGGAGGGGTATTCATGAAGTCCTCATGTTGCTCTCCATTGTAACTGTGCTATTTTCACTATATTTTGCAGCAACAAATATTCAATATTCATGTTTGATGATTTTATTCTTATAAATGGAGATTATAGAATATAGCCACCAAAAAGTATTTTTTGCAGTAAACTTAAATTTTTTTTTAAAGTATTAGTTAACATGCAGTAGTACCGCCTTCTTGGAGATAAAAGCTTCGGATGACCTCAGATATCCTCCAGAGCTCTTTAAAAAACGCTGACCATGTCACAACACCCCCCATCAAATCCAACGGCACCTACATCAAATTAAATCTCACCAAAGAGCTGAGGACACGGTCACCTCTCAAGGTAGACTGAGGTGTGCAGAACGTACCTGGGAGGAGGCTCAGAGGGCATGCTCCTGGAGGAGAGAGGAGGAGGAAGAGGAGGAGGAAGGACTGCTTCCTGCTGATACTACAAAACACCAGACAGGCCCGACTGAGCATGTGCAGCACTCTATAGTGAGAGAACAGAAACAGCAAAGACTGAGAGTGAATAAGGACATAGCCTACATATCTGAGGAGCCTCTGATAGCCTGAAATATCTCTGAATATCTGAGCATCTCGATGGAGCTACTGAGATGAAGAGCTTTTAAAGATTGAAAAGATTTGGCTGCACAAAACAGAGTAAAATATCCACTGAGAAACATCTGATGTATACTACATGCTATAGGCTTTATATTAAAATGTAACACATTTCCTCACAAAATTCTAATATTGTAATACAAAAAAAAATCATTAGATATTATTTTTAATTGTATTTATACATTATGGTAGCACTTGTTGCACTAGCTTTATGCTGATTTTAACAATAATAGTAATAATAATAAAATAAAAAATAATTAAAAATTAAAACATTTAAAATTAAATTAACATAAAACAAAATTCCATAAAATAAAATCACTGTGTCATTAGACAGGACAATTTCATCTTACAATAAAGAGAATCTAAAAATTGAGTATAAAGAAACTTGCACACAAGCTAATAATTAAAACAATAATGCATATTAATTTATTTAGAATTTTGGGGATGAAATGTGCATAACTCATAAAAATATGGTACAATATCAAAAAAAATCTTAATGGTCCTATAAACAGGCTTTATTTTCTATATGAAAAGCAGGGGAGTGAAAATATGACCCAGACATATTTTTGGGAGATTCACTCATGCGGTAATGCTCATACAAAGCACAACAAAATAGAAAAAAACATCATAAAAACACCACTCACCCTATTGATGCACAGTGTGTTTGGATACAAAACAGCTACAGGCAAAGTTCATTCTGATCCAAAATCAGTCTGTGGCGCTCCTCTCATAGAGCCTCATGTGATGGTCAAATGGTTTCAAGGCAGAGAGTAGGCGATTTGATGCAGAACTCATTGGAACCTAATGGCCCATCGTGTCTGAGGCATCACAGCAGATATTGATCTGATATCAAAATGACCTTCAGCCAGCAGACTGTAGTCCACGGACGATGGAGGAGAAAAGAAGAGAGAAAAGGAAAGACATAAGGGCCATACAACGAATGTCCATGATACAGTATGACATATTTTTTCTCAATAGCTTTGGTGTGTCACTCAAATGGTCCCATCTATCATCTTCAGCCTGTCACTGACCTACTTAACCAGAATACACCCCTTAATCCATCAAAGTAAAGGAGACTGAATGACAGTTTAAGTCAGATACCGTCGCGTTAAAATCAAAGTGTAGGTTATATTACTAAAAAAAAATAATAATAATAATAATAATAACCTGTAGGCGGATGTTGTTTTGTCCATTATTATTATTATTATTATTATTATTATTATTTTGACAAGTTAATTACGTCACGAACACAAAGCAACCCTGTCACTAAATGCAGATTAGAGTGATTGGTTGTAAGACCCTTCACAATCACTTTTAAACCTCAACTGTCAAAGGTCTCCTAGCAACAGGGCAGAACCAAGAATATTTGAGCAACAATAAATGTAATCCTCACTAAGACCCGCCCAACTGCAACCTCATGACAATCAGCTGTGAACTCTTTCGGTACATCCATTCAGCATCCATCCGTAATCATTGTCTAAACGCTTCTATATGTTAGAAAATATTCATCGTAAATATACAAACATACACCGGGCTAAAAAGCGGACGCACGCAGTGTACCTTCGTGTCCAGTGTCCTCTTCTCTCGATTTTATCCGACGTCGGGTCACTTGGCAACTTTGACTGGCCCAAACAAAATATCTGCATCGACCCCTGTAGAAAACGGTATAGAGACTGGGGGCGTAACTCGTCACGTCTATGCCCGATGCATCTGAGCTACTGTAAACGCTAGAGTCCCCGCCTCTTGCGGTCACATGCGCGGGATCATGTGTGTCCACGAGGCGCCGAATATGAAGTGCAAACCAGCAAAAACATTGAGATTTTCTTATTGATTTTGAGTGAAGTATATATTGGTATTAGATATGTTATTTTATAACATAATTAGTAAATAAATAGACCTACAAGTTAAAAAATAATGTTAAAAAATAATAAATGTAAAACTACAATTATTTGTAAAATGTAGTTTTTCATTAAAAAGCCACATGTAATCCCTTAATTTGAATGATTAAGGATAAAAATCTTAAAAGAATATAATAAAAAATATTTTATTGCATAAAAATTGTGAGCAATTTATTAGCTTGGCAACGGCCATTAAGTTTTAAGATGTTATTACTTTTACTTTTAAAATCAATTAAAATTAAAATAATTTAAGTCATGTTAAGGGCCTCTTGGAAGTTTGCCTAGGCCCTCTAGTGGTTCCGGGCCCCTGAATGAGAACCACTGGTTTAAATTTTTTTTATTTTTTTTTATTGCAAAACTTGTAGAAACATACAGAAACAGGGAAGCGAGACATGAATATATTCCAACAAAAAGCAAATAAAAACAGAAAACAAATATTCTGTATTTGCATGTCAAATTAATCATTATCGATACATAAAAGTGCAAAAATAAACTTACATTCTTTTAGAAAAGTTGTCATAATACATCAAAAGTCTGGCACTCTTTTTGTTATTAGTAAGTCTAAGAGATGAAACGAGAGAGTCCAATTCAACAAGAAAAATGGGGAAAGACAAAGGAACTGGTTTAAATTGTAGTTGAACTAATATGCAGATTGCAACTTCACACGTCATTGAAAGCATGAAGTGTTTTGCATACTGTGCCACATTCGCTTGCAATGCCTTTAAACTAAACTGGTGTGTAGAATTAACACTTACATTGTGTTTTTAGTTTTCTTAATTTTTCATAAAGTCAGTTTCCCATTACAGCTGAAAAGCAAACATTAACTTGTTTTTCTTAAATTAAGTACAACACTTTGACTTTGTATGCTTTTATTGCGCGCCCGTCTGAAGGTGACACTCGGTGTCTCATAACGGAACTGAGAGTGTCATCTCATGGTTTATTGTTTAAGAACAAAGAGGTCGTCAAAGAGCTCGCAGGCATGGACAAGTTAAAACCTTTGCTTAGTTTCACTCAGAAACAACAGACCAACTTAGGATTCGGACTGATTGCTCTTATAACTGCAGGTAGCGAGCACATCTTCTCGGTCTTTGCTTTTAAATGTCCTTGCAATGACTGGAATTTCGTTTATGGCAACGTCTGTCTCCTCGTACCCGCGCTTGCACTGCTCATCTTAAGTTACATGTTGAGCAATAAAACATGGAAACTGTTCACGGGTCTGTGCCTTAGGAAATCGAGGCTATGTCGTTTTAATTACGCGATTGGCTTCTTGTGTGTGTTTCTTCAAATCACCACGACTGCAATGGTCGCACCTCTCAGCTGGATCGCAGTTGCTCTACTCAGAGGGGTGTATTTCGAGTGCTCAATGACTGGCGCCAACATTACACTTTTTAGACGTCACCTTTGCAACGAAAAGTATCCTCACTGTCGGACAGAGTTGGAGAAGTTCCCGTGTGATGGGACCGCTATTCCGCAGAGTGAGAGAATGGCGGTGCTGTCCATCATACGCGCAGAGTCGCAGGTGAGCACTGCGATGAAAAGTTAAAGAGACATGGCATAATTTTAGTTTTTGTCCGAGAAAAATGTAGTCATTTCACTGAGGCTATCTCAAATCTAAGACTCGGACAGACATTAGCAGTTTTACTTGTGCCCTAACTTGGACTCAATAGGCCTATCTCAGTTTAATAGTGAGTTTCAGGGGGTTCGACTATTGTGAGGAATTTTTGTCAGAAATTGTCGGGGTTACAATACGTTGAGATTTGTATTTAAAGACATTTTAAAACCGTTTTTGTAATGTATTTGTGATGTGTAGCTAAATCTGTAACTTAATAATAAATAATGGCAATAGTTTTGTTTCTTCAATGCACTGACACTGATTAAATCGCTGGAGCCTCAGGGAAATCAAGGTATGTTCCCAGCTAAAAAAAAAAAAAGTTTTTTTTTTCCATTTTATCATTTTGCGTTAAAACGTTATGGGAACGTTACTTTTGAAAGTAGGCTAGTAACATAAAAAAGTTAAAACATTTCAGAAAAAGAAAAACATTCCATGAACTATGTATAAATTATGTTTTGAGAACATCATTAAAGACCAGATTACTTTGAACAAACATTCTATTAACGTTACTGGGATAATGATTGTTCATAAGTTTGAAAAAAAGTTAGCCAAAATTCTGATTATGTTTCCTGATAGCTGGGTTGGCAGACTTTAGATGACTCTGACTAACTTGTAGTCCATCATTCGTAGTCATAAAAATCTTTTGGTCTACAAGAATAAATATTTTTTAAATGTATATTGTTTAGTTAAATGGGATTTTCTCATTTACATTTTCAGAAAAACAAAGACAAATTTCTTAGGAGTGGCCTTTACAGGCAGAAGCCTAAATGTTGTTCATTTTTTAGGTAAAAGGGTTATTTTAGCAATTCTACAGAATGGCCTACCTTGTTGTTTGCATTCATAAGGTCCTCTACAGTCATCTTAAAAACATTTATGATATCTGTGCTTTAATGTATCTCATTTTTATTTTTCAACAAATAATTATGTCTCTTAATATTTGAATAATTCTGGAAAATACTTTTAGGTACTTGGTTGGATCCTGATAGGTTCTGTGATGACGTTCACCTTTCTGCTCACATGCACGGCCAGATGCTATTCTCCAATCAGTTACATGCAGCTGAAGTTTTGGAGGATGTACACTCAGAAGGAGAGTGAGTTTTTGGACAGCTACACAGCTCAGCATGCTGAGAAGCTTGCAAAGAGAAACATAACAAGTTTCTTTGATTTAACCAAACCCATTCCTATGAAGAGTCCACCCAGACAGGCTTGGGAGAAGATATCTTCTTTTTACAAGTTCCGAAGCATGGACGAATACTACAGCATCCTGCACAAGTATGTTTGCACTTGTGAGGACCTTGAAAATCCAGTAGTAAGGGCTTCAGTAAGATCTGACAATGATTTGTCAAACCCAGCAGCACTTGCATTTGTGGACGAGGGCAAACTGGTCCTGTAGACGCCGTCTAGTTGACAGCTTTTCATGTTATATCCTGTTATTATGGGCATAAACAGCTGTACTGGCTTCTTTATTTTCTGTGCCTGTTACAGTGTCAGTTCACTGTTCTCCTATATTGCTATTTTAGCTTTTCTTTTGAATACTACAACTGTATGATTTTAACATTTCTTGTTTTTTGTTGTTTGATTTTAGTTTTGTTTTTCAGTATGTATTTTTTTATATATGAACAATAAAAAACTTTTTTCATAATAATCAGTTTAAAGAGTTTTCCTCATTCATTTGTATTTGAACAGCTGTGCCCTGGCCATTTCCAAAAGGACTGTACAAAGAGTTACATTATAATGCTAGACTTTTAGTGTCACTTTAACTTGTATCATGCACATGATGATTAGTGATCTCATATTTCAACAGGCAACATTTTAATGACTTCTTTCATGAAATAATCATGTACAATTTGAAAATTACACTGCTAAAAGCTCACTCAACAAAAAAATCAATATTCATTAAGTTCTACCATTTGCGGTTAGCGTTAAAGCTGAGTCTTTATGGGAGAAGCGTAGGGCAACACAGTGGGCATACACCAGAGCAGAACAGAAACTGTCTCCTCGTACATAACCAGAACAAATCACTTCCTTTTTTACTAATGTAAAGCATTATGTTGCAATACACCTCTTTGTTTGACCTAACATGCACTAATCTGCTGTTCCAGCCTCTGGATTTCCACATTCCATTGCTAGCAACCTCCAGATTCTGGCATTCCAATAATAAAAAGCATGTTGTCAGTTACAAATCTCAGCTTTTTACTTAAACAACAACTGCATTGTTGGGATGTAATTTGGTTTGACTGCTGTTGCGTGATGTATGTGTAATTGTGCCCATACACATCTGTAGTCTGTTGTGACTTTTGGCAGAACCTGATGGGCTGGTTTTGGTCACGGTTCTTCACTAAATGGGAGGCGGAAGAGGATGGACAGGGGAGGGATTTGACGAGCTGCGGAGAAGCCAGAGACAGAAAAGGAGGAGATAAAGGAAGTGTGGAAGACAGAGTGATAATAAGAGAGCGAGAAAAGGGAGTGCCATAGCAGAAATCATCTCAGTTTCATTTCTGTTCATCAGTTTAGGAGTGTTGCAGCCATGCCTGTACCAGCTATGGATTCGTTTAAGACTGTCCTAAAGTTCCTCACCAATCAGAAGACCACTATTGGCTACAGCTTCATGGCTATTTTGACAATAGGTAGTGAACGAATTTTCTCCATGGTGTCTTTCCAGTGTCCGTGCAACCGTAAACAGAATTTTGCCTATGGATTAACGTTTCTGCTCGGCCCTGCTGTTGTCTTGCTGGCGATTGGTCTCTTTGTTAGTACACGTCTTTGGCGGTTATATACAGGGTGTTGTCTCAACCCTCTCAAACTCTGCCCCAGGGGTAATTTTGTGGGATGCTTGCAAGTGTTTGTAAAAGTGCTGTCTGGAGCCTGCATTGCCCCTGTCATGTGGCTTAGTGTAGCTCTGTTAAATGGAACTTTTTATGAGTGTGCTGTTAGTGGCCTGGATGAAAATGTGGTGGTGCAAATTTTCTGCAAAAACAAGACACGTACATGCCAGAACGAGCTGCCCCGAGTGCCCTGCAGCAAGTCCCAGCTGCCTCCAAATGAAAACATGGAACTGCTGTTGATGCTGCGCGCCCAATCACAGGTGAGCACAGACTGTTACTGTGAAATCTTTCTTTTGTCCTTTTTTTTTTCTTCGTATATTACATTTTTCTGGAATTTTTTCAAAGATGCGGTCACATTTACCATTGTTCGGCAAATTTTCGCAGGCAAAATTTTGTGTGCAAAAACAGGTCCAGTGTCTAAAGACCGTAGTCAGGGTATGCTATATTGACAGGAATGAAAACAAAGCTGTGAGGGAAAGAAGTAGGGCCTACAGTGTTCAATGGACTGTACAGGTGTTTACCAATGAACCGATTGTTCAGCTGATGAACGTCTTTCAGGGGAAAAAAAACTTTTACTATAAAAAAAACTTCATTTTGTTGTTTTGAAATTTGTAAGTTGTGAAAATTACGTGATCTAGGACCTTTATACAGTGCGTGCCATTGTAAAAACATAAGTGTATCCCTCAAAGCCTTGTTTTCATCCACGTTAAATTTACTATGATGTCTAACCTGATTATGGTTTATTGTCATTAGCGTGGAGATGTATGAAGCATAGCTCACACAGAAGTCACTTTCAAATCAAGCAGCTTTTTGTTGGTTAGCACAGCACATTTGCGTGACCAACTTGAACATAAGCTAAATCTGCAGGGGGAACTTTTTCTCCTCATGCATGCGAAATTCCTAATTGTGTGGATTTCTATTGGAATGACTGGATTTTGCACACAAAATTTAGCCAAGCAAGGATGAATACGACCATCTTGAGGGCGAAAGATTTCCTCCTGGGAGATTTTGCAAAAGGTTCAAACTGGTCACACAATTCACTGTGTTGACCAACAGAAAGCTGTTTGAAAGTGACTTCTGTGTAAGCTGTGCATCATGCTTCGCTAAAATATTCACAAATACAATTTGCCTTTTTTGCCTGCTAAATTTCGTTAATAATAATTTGCTATAATAACTTATCATTTATTCTATCTTATAACATTCAACTGATCAATCTATTTTCGCAGATCCTCGGCTGGTCCATCATTATCATATCGGCAACAGTAGCACTAATTGGGACTTGCTTCAAGAACTGTCGCTCTCAAGTAAGCTACCTTCAGTTAACTTTCCAGAAGATCTACATGGAGAAGGAAAAGGAAAAATTTGAGTTGTTTGCAGAAGACTATGCTACCAAACTGGCAGAGAGAAACCTCAAGAGTTTCTTTGACAACAAAAGTCCCGAACCATTTCCCTTTCCAAATCACAAGGCCTGGGAGGAGATCTCTACTATATACACTTTTAAGCAAAGCGAACAGTACTACAGCACACTGCAGAGATACGTGGAGCGCACTGATCGGGACTACAGCCCCGAGAAGCGACCTGTTCTGGAGGGGGAAGATGGCATAGAGATGGCATAGAACTGCATGGACTGGTAACTTAAAAGAGAAAAATTTTAAGTTGACCTGGAATTTTAATATGACCTGGAAGACAAAAAACCACTGTGAATCAAGACAGAATTACATTTTTGTTTGGTAGCTATAACCTGTATTGACAGTTTTTGGAAATTTTGTTTTGCCCATTGAGGAAGTGGTCATAGTACAATTCAAACTTTGTACAGTTTTATACTTTTATATTAGTGAACCAACATAGATCTCAGGCCCTAGAGGTGTTGACAGATTTGAGTGGCACTTTCAGTAACAACATCCAATTTGCATACTACTTGAATGTTGAATTTCAGGTTTTACAAAGTCAAAAAAGACAAAAAAAAAACTTATTCTCAGGGCATTTGTCATTTAGCCCTTGTGCACTCTTTGAATCAATAGCTCGCTTATGCCTCTCTACATTTTAAAATCTTCTTCACCATATCCTTATAAAACACAGTGTGTTTGATACACTTTTATGCATGATACCCTCAAAAGACTTTTGTATAGTATCGATAAGTAACTATCCAGCACAATATTGATTAAAATCTACAATAAGGTCACATTGTACTTATGCCAACCAACAAAATATAGAACATGTAAACCACATTTCTTATTTCCTCTGCAGGTTTTAAGCAGAAGATCTGACAAACAGGAAACCACATTCAGTGTCCCCAACACTAATTTCTTCAGTAGTTTAGACCCACAGATCAGCTCTGAAAAGGGCCCCTGTGATCAAAATGAGTTTCTCTTAGCACAAAAAAAAAAAAGCATAAACAGGACCAATTACTATAGAATGTCAAATATATTACACATAGTAAGGTTGTGGTTTCAGGCATGTTTGTGGTATGCATTTCCTGCACTGTTGTGAAAGAGAAGTACATATAGGTTAGCAGTCAGTGAAAAAAAATAACAACAACTATATTAAACTGTGTTATTCAATGTAAAGTTAGAGTTGAGTGTGCAAAAATATTGCTTGGAAGTAACAAAATGTAGCATAATAACTAAAGACATTAAAATTGAGTCCAAGCCACAGAGCATTGCCCAGTGTGTACAATATGAGATATAGCGGCTGACCCGAGTTTGAGTCCTGGCTCAAGGTCTTTCCTTTAAAGGCAAAGGCAAAGGCAATGGCAAAAAAATAAATAAAAAATGGAGAACTACAATAACAAACACTCAGACCATCTGCCTCAATTGATTTAAAAGTAACAGACAAATAAACAAAATGTTTATGCATGTACATACAGCCTGTTAAACTGTTTTTTTATGTTTTTTTATGTTTTTGCAATTTTGTACTGAATGCTAATACTTTTTGTATTTGTTTCTTGCCTTGCTCTATGTATTTATATATTTTAATATTTGCATTTTTATTATGACTGTACAAATATTATTAATATACTTTGACAGACCCTCATCTACCCTGCTGAAAAAGGCAGTCTAGACCATCCTAGTTTGTTCAGCTGGTAAATTACCAATTAAATGTATTTCTGTTTAACATTACAAGGTGAAGGTGTGTTCATAAGATTAGCCACTTCCATTCTTTGCCATGATGGCAGTGGTCAAGCTGATATACCTGTAAGAATAACAACCAGTGCCAGTTGCTACAGTAGGCTACTACCTAAACTAAAATGTACCCAGAAGCTAAAGTGTCCTAGCATTTAAACTGGTCTAAGTGGTTTCAGCAGGTTTGACAGGATAGAACTGTAAGCAAAACCATATCCAGAATAAGGAAAGGCCTTTATTTTCTTTATGTCTGTACCATCAATAAATGCACAATCAATAAAAACTACTCTACAACCAGTGTCTGCTTACAAATTCATAAATACCAATTCATGTGAAAGGATTTGTGCAATGGGCAACATGATAGATAAATTAAACTATAAATTAATAAGTAAAAAGAAAAGACAAGGATTATAAATTGATTCCTGGAAGTTGGGATTTAAACTTATTTAATTACATGTATTCATTCGAATATATAACATAAAAAACTTTTAAATTACATAAACTTACTTATATTGTGGAGAGGCAGTTAGGGGATTGGACAGGTGTCTTGCCGAAAATTGATCGTCTGCCGAAAACTGATTGGCGCCTGTAATCACTTTTTTATTTTTATTTTTTTTTTTATTGCATTGCAATTGAAAGAATAACAACAGTTATGAAGTAACATGGGGCTAACGGACATCATCACATGGAGTTAGACAAGCTACACCAATTAACGAAATATACCAGTGATAAAGAAGAAAAAAGAAGAAAAAAGAAAGAAAGGAAAGTCTTTTAAAGCCTGTGAGGAAAGGTCCATAAGTTTTTTAATTCAGAGTTCGGATAACAAATCCTCCATTTAGATTGTGCTTTAGAGGGGCATCCTGGAGTTGAAGAAATAACATTTCTAATAAAAAAGTTATTGCATTTTTTATCTAAACACCATTAAATGCAAGTGTAGGAAAATAGTTGTTTACACAGCCATAACATAAATGCGCTTTAAACAACGTTTTTAAACGTTTTTTTAGTCACCTTATTAAAATCTCTTAGTGAGATTGATGCACCTTTCAAAAACACAAAATCAGAAAAGGAAAGAAGGTCCCCGTCAGAATTGAACAAATCAGAAACAAAAAATATATTTTGATTCACCCATTCAATGAAACAAAGTGATTTGTTACCAGACAATATATTTTCATTGTTCCAAAGAATACACGCGTGCGGGGAGAAATTATGTTTAAAAGCAATCTTCCAGGATTCTAGGGCTTGTTTATGAAAATTTGACAGTTTAATAGGTAACTTACTACACTTAAAGTTACAGGACAATAAAAATTTAAGGCCACCACAACGTTTGAAGAATAGGTTAGGGATCCAAAACCAGGGTAACTCATTATTAGATAAACAATTCTTGATCCAGTTAATTTTGAAAGTCTGGTTAATGATATTAAAATCTAAAGCATTAAGACCACCCTCTTTATAATTTCTTATCATAGATTTCCTTTGAACACATTCTGTCTTATTTTTCCAAATAAAGCGGAATAGCAAAGAGTTAATCATTTTAATAGTTTTTTGATCAACATAAAGGGAAAAAGCAGGATAAACTAGGCGTGAAATGCCCTCAGCCTTAGTCAGCAGGACTCTCCCATAAATTGTCAAGTCTCTCTGCAGCCAGCAACATAAAATCTTTTTAATGTTATCTAACCTTGGCTGAAAATTGTGATGGAGACGGTCTGAATCAGATCTGCAGATATCAACCCCTAGATATTTTACATGACGTTTAACTATAATACCATCAACAGAATTTTTATTGGAATCATGTACATATAAAATTTCACTTTTTTGGGGATTTACTACTAATCTTGAAGCTTTGGAGAAAAGAATAAATTAATTGAAGGCAACAGAAACTTGTGAATAATTTTTTAAGAAAAAGACAAGTATCGTCAGCTAACTGACTAATTATCAATGTATTCCCTCCAATATTGGAGTGCTTTATATGCAAACTTAATAGCTCGGCGGCTAATAGAAAAAGAAAAGGAGAGATGGGGCATCCCTGCCGAATACCTCGAGCCACAGAAAACCGGGGAGAAGTGCCGGAAGCTAATGATTTCTGAATAATCTAAAATATCTATAATTAATCTAATATTATGTCTACCTTTTAGAAAACCAGATTGAGTGTTAGAAATTATGTTTGCTAAGCAAGATTTGAGCTTTTCAGCATATACAGAAGCCAATAATTTATAATCAGAGTTCAAAAGGGTGATCGGGCGCTGTAATCACTTTTTGGCAAGTGTAAAACTGCGTTTTATGGGTACTTCAACAGGTAAAAAGGACTGCATAAGCTAAATGACTTGATTGCATTCGAGGGTTATATTTGACATGATTGCATTCGAGGGTTATATTTGACAGATTATAGCTCATGCAGTCATTTTTACCTGTTAAAATACCTTTAAATGGCCAATAAAACCCATAAAATGCAGTTTTACACGTCCCAAAAAGTGATTACAAGCCCCAATCAGTTTTCGGCAGACGATCAATTTTCGGCACGACACCGGCAGGCTTTGTAATCCATGCCAGAATCGAGCCTTTTCACACGTTTATTTTTATTCATTATTTATTTTGTATACAATCTTTGTAGTAGGTTCAAGACGGAGACAGCATGAATTACTACAATGCTACTAATGTTTAGCAGAGCAAGTAAAATTGGGGTGTTACTCACGCCTCTCTGACCCTAGCTCAGACATTACTGGTGATCGCAGATGACATCGATGCCAGCGGGGCCTTACGTTTCTTCCATGCAGGCTCTAATCTATGGATATTTGTGACATAAAATGACAGACTACGGCGAGGAGCAGAGGAATGAACTAGAAGCAACAGAGTCCATTTACCCAGACTCATTTACAGGTAAGATTGACCGCAAAGTTTATGTTTATGCCTATAACTTCGCACCGCTGCCCGTTAGCCGACTGGCTTTTCATTTAACAATGTTAGTTAAACGTAAGAGCGAATCAGTCATCTCTTTGATAGAATTCTTTATAGCAGCAGATTAAGCTGTCACAGGTTAAGAAACAAAGCAAAAATTAACCGATGGTCAGCAATAAGATGTCAAGCAGAAGTTGTGTCAGATTTATGTTTACGTGCTGCTTTGAATAACCTGTCGAAGTACTGGCTCTGTCAATGGTCAGAGGTCACCCACACATACCCGTTTACTTCCAGGCTGTGGGAAGAGATGAGCAACAGTGAGCTCTGTATATTTCATTAGTTTGTTTCTTTCCTTACAATATCTCCTTTTATGCAGTGCTTTCCGAGCAGCCCACAAGCTTCACCATCACAGTTACTTCTGATGCGGGAGAAAATGAAGAGAGTAAGTTCATGTGCTTTACAGTGCACGGAATATGTTACAGTGTGTTCTGCTATCATTAACCCTGTGAAGTGTCATATTTGATACATCAAGCTTTTATGGCTCATGCAGTATGATATTGGAGAATATGGAGGAGGAAAAACGCTTTTATTTAGAGGCCCAAACTGAGCAAAAATATGCAATTTGGTGCAGTTGCTGATAATTATATGGCCAGAAAGTAAGAAGAAAATCTAATGCCTTGTATTGTAAATCAATAAACTCTTTGCAACAGTACAACAGACTGCTTACATAAAATGCCTATAAATATCACTTGTCCTTCTTAATCTCCCAATAGTGCTTCGTTTTATGATCAAAGCTCTGTAGTTTTTATTGTGGTGGGCAAAACGTATAATGCAATGCAGTACAATGTTGATTGAGAGATGTACAAATAACTGAGAGGCCCTAGAAATGTGTTTATCCAATATGATACAGTAGGCTTTAGGGGTGTCCAAACTCGGTCCTGGAGGGCCACTGTCGTGCCGAGTTTAGCTCCAACTTTAACTAAACACATCTGAACCAGCTAAGCAAGGTCTTACTAGGCATACTAGAAACATCCAGGCAGGTGTGTTGAGGCAAGTTGGAGCTAAACTCTGCAGGACAGTGGCCCTTCAGGACTGAGTTTGGACACCCCTGCTTTATAGGGTTACTGTGTAGCTCAAAGCTGATTTCTGTCTGTTTTAGCGGTGGAGGTGACCCTAAAGTTTACATATGTGGAGAAATACCCAGACGAGCCCCCTCTCTGGGAGATCATCTCACAGGAGAACCTGGAAGATTCATATACAGAAGACATTCTAATGCTTTTACAGCAACAGGTCTGCACACGTGACATCTTAACCAGCAAAACGCATTAACAGTGGTTAAAGTGCACATACTGATGTTGGGTATTTTTTACTGTCCTTTAGTCCTTCCTAATAACCTCTTTCTTTTGTAGGCCGAAGAAAACCTGGGAATGGTTATGATATTCACGTTGGTGACAGCTGTGCAGGAGAAACTTAACGAAATAATTGACCAGATTAAGAGCAGAAGAGAAGAAGAGAAACAAAGAAAAGAAAGGGAGACCGAAGAAGCTGAGAAGGTTTGAGCATGTGTCTTCTGAATGTAGACTAACATTAAAGGAATAGTTCACCCAAAAAAGAAAAATTGCTGAAAATCGACTCCCCCTCAGGCCATCCAAGATGTAGACGAGTTTGTTTCTTCATCAGAACAGATTTGGAAAAATTTAGCATTACTTCACTTGCTCACCAGTGGATCCTCTGCAGTGAATGGGTGCCGTCAGAATGAGAGTCCAAACAACTGATAAAAACATTGCAACAATCCAAAAGTTTGTTTAGCCACAATAAACAAGTACTTCTGTCAGTAAAGACAAATAATGCTTTTGCTAGAGGTGTAAGTACAGCTTCTACCAGTAGGGGGCCATGCAGACCAACCAAACTGTACCACAACATTGCTATTATACTTAAATATTATTATGTTGAATGGTAGATTTGTTAGCAGTTACATAGCTATCCTTTATATTAAAATGGAAAATGTTTTTGTTTTGCTTTTCTCAGCGTGCATTCCAAGGCACTGTGGTCACAATTGAGAACTTCTTATCATGGAAAGCCAAATTTGAACAAGAAATGGTAGAACTAAAGAAGAAAAGGCAGAAAGAAGAGGAGCAGTCAGGAAAGGGAAAACTCACAGGTGAGTTGCTATCATAACATTGAAAGTAGTGTAGAAACCCAAATCTGAACCACCTTTTGTCATGATCTGCTCATTTACTTTTTATGTTACAGGAAAACAGCTGTTTGAGAGAGACCACAATCTTGACACATCAGATATCCAGTTCTTGGAAGACAGTAAGCAATGTCAATTATTATTATTATTTTATATTCAAGTTGCCATAGGATGCCTTCTACCATTTCAAAATTTGGAGTCAGCAAGATTTAAAAAAATATTTTTTGAAATAAGTGCTCATGATTCTTATGCTCACTAAGGCTGCAGTTATTTGATCAACAATACAGTAAAAACAGTAATATTGTGAAATATGACAATTAAAATAACTGTTCTATTTTAATTTGTTCCTGTGATGGCAATTACACCAGCCTTCAATGTAACATGATCCTTCAGTAATCATTCTAATATGCTGATTTGATGCTCAAGAGAAACTTTTTTTTAATATATATATAAACGTATTATTATATAATAAATGATCAAAACAGGTGACCCTCATGTTTCCCCCCACCTGTATAACTTACTTTCTTTTCTCTTCATCACAAAAGATCAGAATCAGCATCCACCATTTACTTTCATTGTATGGAAAAAGGCTGTCAGTAACTACTGTGAGGGGGAGTAAATTATGACAGATTCTTCATTTTCACAATCGCAAGAATTTGTTGGTGTACTGATTTTTAATTGTATCATTTTTTTTATGATTTTACTTTAATCTGTGTGCTTGAAACAGTGAGGTGTTATATACCTTTCCTCAGAAATGATCCCAGCTGGTGGTTCAGCAGGATGACAGGGATCTGCTGGTAATTGGCCTGAGGATTGTTCTTCATATTTTTGAAGGTACTGTGCTCAACAACATCATTCAATTGCTGTGATGTCAAGTTCCTCGCCAAGAATGAAGTGATCCTTTCAACCACTGACCGTAAGTCCTGCAAGCATGCACGGTTGATAAGTTACAGCAACAATTCTGGATTCATATTCCTACTCTGAGGTTATGTGTACACGTTTGGGGTCAAAATGTTTGTGTTTTTTTTTTTTTCTTTAATACTTTTGAAAGAAGTCTTTATAACAAGGCTGCATTTATTTGATCAAAAATGCAGTAAAAACAGTAAGGGTTTCCGCAGGTTTTATGAAAGTAAATTCAAGACTTCTTAAGACCAATTAAAGAAGGAAGGAATAAATATGCCAATATGTTCTTTAAATGTAAATGTCTACATAATTGTATTAGCAGCCCTTTAAAGTTTGAAAATAACTTTCAACAATCATTGAAATTCTATGTTATTTTACTACATCTAGTTCAACTGCAGGAAAATTATAAATGTTGCCTTGGCAACTGAAATAAAATAAGTTTAATTGTTTTTATATTTTCATTTTATTTCAGTTTATTTTATTTCAACAAAAATATTTTTATAGTTTTAGTTTTCAATTTCTCAGAAAACAAAACATGACATTTTAATTTTGCCTCTCAAGTACATATTTGTATGGGAAAACAAGACAAAAATGCAGAGGAAGATATATATACCTCCTCTGTATTTTTGATTTAAGATGATTTAATTTGTGGAAAGAAAAATGAAAACTTAGTATACTTAGCTTAGTACTTTTACATAAACTTTAGGATTCTTTGATGAATAGAAAGTTCCAAAGAATAGTATTTAATTTAAATAAAAATATTTTGTAAAATTATAAATGTTTTTTACTTTTACTGTTGTTCAATTGAATGCATCCTTGCTGAATAAATGTATTTATTTCTTAAAACAATTCCTACTGACCCCAAACTTTTAAATGGTAGAGTATACAGTTTATCCTATTTATCAAGAAAACAAGCAAACCAGTCAAACCTTAATCATCTCCTCATATGTAATGTACAAGAAGTTCATCTCGTCTTTGTGGGAGCACCAGCTCTTGACATGCTCAAACCAGCAATTACCAAAAACTGAAACACATGATATATGTTGAGGATTTCTGGTCAAACAGTTGCTTTGATTGAAATGGCGACTTAGGTAAAAGAAAAAGCCTTTTGTTTACCATTTCCTTCCATGAATTTCTCAAAAAATGTATCAAAGTCTTTTGGGGTCTCCAGCATATTTGCATATTTGTGAAAGTGGAAGTAAGACACCAAAACATCCTTTGGATTTCTGGCCACATAGATGACCTATTAGTCATTAGGAAGAGTGAAGAGATCATGTAAACATTTGCAATAGACTTAAGGAGACTGCACATGCAAAACTGTAAGAGAACGTAGCGGTCATAATTATTCAGTACATGATTATTTCACTGAAGCCATACAGATGCAGTAGCAGCTTGATAGAAGCGATCTCACCTTGCCCTTCTTTTGTTTCAGTCCAAGTGGCATGAACTTGTATGGCAGATGAGACACACAGATCCTAGGGGAAGGGGCAGAAACAAACTGTTTCCTAGAGTCTAAAAGTTCAATCCACGGTACTCGCTCAGAATTCAGTTGCTCATTTGTCCTTGTAACATCTCCCTTGACCTCTATTAGACTGAGGATTTGCTGCAACCAAATAGTGCCTGCAAAGATGATCAACACAAGCAAGAACATGTTTACAAATTCTCTAATAAATTGCACATCGGATGTCTATTACGATTACTGATCACTGAAGGATTTAAATCGTGCCATACTCAGTAAGCGTGCATTTTTGTGATTACAGTATAAATCTAATGTTCGTCAAGTGCTTGCTCACACTATTTTGAAAGCCGTTTATGAAAAAGTATTTTGCATACTGCACTTTTAGCAGTAGCATGTGGCTCCAATGGATCTCTATCTTACCTGATTTGGGGTAAGTAATGACAAAGACATCTGAGTCTTGAATCTCAAAGTTCTGAATTTGATCCACCACCTCAGGAGAGTGGATTCCAGATATTAGTTTGAAGCCCCTGAGAGGGACCAGCTTATATTCAGGGGCCTCACCACTGCTCTGACTGAAAACCTCTGAGAGACCAAAAAATGTAAATAAAGATAGAATTAAATTAAAACATGCTATACATTATATGTCAGTGTCTACGTTCAAATATTCACCAAGATAATCTATACAGTACATATGTTCACATGCATTCATAAAAAAAAAAAAAAGATAATATTTGCACAAATTAAACAATATTTACACCCAAAACCTAAAATCTCTTAAGTGAATTAAAGGGCATAAATATATTCATGGAAATCATAGCATATATGAGTATAGCATATAGTATATAAGGCTATACTTTCGCGTTTGACTGCGGTCAAGCCAGCCGCCACGTTATTTCGAGGGTCGCGCATATGCTGCCTATTACGGTAAGAACTGATCTGAACTGATCTCAAAGCAAGTGCTCTTCCGGTGAACGTGATTTTCCCCGCCACAGCCCAGTTTCACTGGAAAATGATACGTCACAGTACGTCACTGTCTGATGTTGAATTCCAAAATAAAAGCCCTCCAATACTCATATATATTACAAGATAAGAGCCCCTCCCCCCTTCTCAATCTGAGGTGAATCTTATTCTGTGCAACCAAGGATTTTTATTTTTATAGCTTTTTGAATGCAGAGACACAGCAGCGTATGAATAAGAGCTGCTGGGGGCACTTATTTTGTAATATATATGAGTACTTGAGGGCTTTTATTTTGGAATTCAACATCAGACAGTAAAGGACTGTGGTGTATCGTTTTCCAGTGAAGCTGGGCTGTGGCGGGAAAAAAATCGCGTTCGCCGGAAGAGCACTTGCATTCAGATCAGTTCTTACAGTAATAGGCATTATATGCGCGACCCAAAAAATAACGTGGCGGCTGGTCTGACCGCAGTCATCTACGCAGCGTTTCGCGCATGACACGACGACGTTCGAGAAGCGCGGTGTTCAAGTCAAAATTACAACTTTTTAAACGCCTCGATACCTTGTGTTTTCCCCCATTTTACTGCGCTGCGTCTCAAATTTTAACGTGTTCTCTGAACGAAAATATGGTGATATATGTGCCCCAGTAGAAAATAGAAAAGCCCTTGAATTTTACAAAGTTAAACATAAAAAACGATTTTTGTGGCTTAATGTACTAAAACAACAACCAGGGACAAACAGATGTTTCTCACACTTGTTACAAACAGGGAATCAAACAGAAACAAAGTGTTACGGTGAGTTTTCTCCCCCACAGACCACAGGTAACGTTAGAGATAACGCTTAGCCTACCTATCAGCTTACCTTGAGATAATGTTAGAATATTCATAATGAATGAGGCCCAAAGTCCGTTTAAAAATACAACAGTTCATTATTAGTTAATTTTAGATCAGTTCCATTAATATTAACAGCACAACATTTGATTTTAATAACGAATGTGTAAACGTTGAAACTAACATTTACTAAGATTAATAAATGATTGAGTTGTTTTTTCATTGTTAGTTCATATTAATGTAGTTAACTAAAGTTACGAAATTGAACCTTATTGTAAAGTCTATAAGGGAGAAATCAAGTAATGTAAAAATACTGTCTTTATCCAGATTGATTAAAATCGCATTGTTTTGGCAGCAGATAGTGTTTATGTCAAAAAATAATTTGTGAGAGAATTTTGTACATTAAGCCATATGATGGGTGTTAGTCCTAAACTATGGTGTGCTGCCTACCTGGTCAGTTCAACCATGCACTTACCTGCCATTTCTCGCTCTCTCTTTCTCCTCTGGAGTGACCGTGAGATTCCTGTCTGTCCTGTGACTTGATTAAATCAGGAAGCGTATTTTAGCACATAACACATTTGATCATGAAACAGAGAAAGGAGGGGAGGATCTGTAAATGGCTTGAATGTGGCCTGCAGGGTGGGAAAAAGGAGTGAGACGCTGATGGTTCAGATTTCCTCAGAGTGCATAAAGCTGACAAATATCTCTTGACCACTGGTGGTGTCGAAAATGGATACCATATGCATACAACTGTTGTTTAAAGACAAAACAAGCTCATCATTCAATGAATCAAAATTTAAAGAACTGAAGACTCACACACATAAAAAGTAATAAGACATATTGTGCAGCAAGTAAGATATAACTATATTTATTATTGTTTATTGACATTTATACAAACATACAGTGTTTCACAGTCTGATAAAAGTAGCAGGAACTAGTAGATAAAACTGCAGTCAGCATATGTGGACAATTCCATCAAGGGATTTTCTCAGCACACAGTGTCCTTGAATTAAGAATACGGCTCTGAAAAACACAAACATGCCAAAAAGATGTCAAGCTGTAGCTCAAGAGTTTAACATAGACTGTGCATATAAAATATCTAAATGCAGTTCATTACTTGAATTGAGCAATGAATTCCTGAAGCTGTAGCTCTAAATTACCCGTTTCTCTTCAGGGGTCAGCAGCCCTTCTACAGCGACCACTTGATACTGTCTGTGTTTTAGGCCACCGGAGAATTTGCGCATACGTCGTACCATGGTAGCTGCTGTATCCTGCGACAGCACTCTCCTCATTTCCCTGGGTGCACACCCCGGATCGAAGAGGAGCAGGCACAGGTTGCCATTTACTTTCTGTTCCACTCCTACGATTGAGCGACTGTGGCCTGATCATAAAGACATGACAACACGTACGTCATCTTATAAAGGCAATTCTATTTCTCTAAAGGCTAATAATCTTGAGTTTCATAAGAGATAATAAATTTACTTAATTCTTATTAAAGTGCTGTAGTTTACAAAAGAAATCTTGAAATACCTTGGTGCTGGAGGTATACAGGTGGTAATGTCGTCTGCTCTACTTTGGGTGTCAGTCTTGCAACCCTACTGGCAGAATGTGAGAAATACTGTTTCACCCACTCGAACAGTCTGGGGTGCGTATCTCCTGGGCCAGTGGGCTTGTGAAAATCCACAATTCGGGCTCTAAATTTTTTAAGGAAAGTTAAGATGTGAAATTAATAATATTTAAGTATTTACATGGTTTATAATGTTTGAGGTTGGTAAGATTTTTTTTATGTTTTTGAAAGAAGTCTCTCGCCAAGGCTACATTTAATTGATCAAAAATACAGTAAAAACAGTTATACTGTGATAAGTTTTTTTTTTTTTTTTTTTTACAATTTAAAACCAAGGCTGCATTTATTTGATCAAAAATACAGCAAAACCAGTAATACTGTGAAATATTAATACAATTTAAAATAAGTATTTTTGTATATTTTAAAATGTAATTTATTCCTGTGATGGCAAAGCTGAATTTTAAGCTGCCATTACTCCAGTCTTCAGTGTCACAAGATCCTTCAGAAATCATTCTAATATACTGATTTGTTCCTCAAGAAACATTTCTTATTATTATTAATGTTGTGCTACTTAAAGGGGTCATATGATGCAATTTCAAGTTTTCCTTTCTCTTTGGAGTGTTACAAGCTGTTCGTGCATAGATAAGATCCCTGAAGTACACCTCTGAAGGATCCTTAGATCCTCACGTGCAAATTGTGTGTGTTGGGTTTTATTTATCAATTCATTTATAATAATTTATTCACATAATCATTTTATAATCATTAAACATTCATATGATTTATTATTTGATTATTTTTACCATTCATCATATCATTTAAGTATTTTTTATTGTATATTCATTTATTATGTTTATTCATTTATTATGTTTCTGTATATTATATTTCTTGTTAATTTTTCCTTTTGTATCTCCATTGTTGTTCAATCTCATGCTTGTGGGGTTTCATGAACTGTTTTGTCTGTATGAATAGAGATAGATAAGAGGGAATGTTTATGGAAACCCAAGGTTTATGTGATGTTGTGAAGCAGTTTTGGTATAACAGTACATGTTGAATTTGTGCTGATCAGACGAAGTTTGAACATTGAGACATATGCAACTAAGATTGTTCAATAAACTCTGCTACTTTTTACCATCATCACTTCGTCTCCTGCTTCTGCTCTTCTCTGGCTTTCCTCAGTCAGCTTCTTGACTGACAGAAGACTGTTAAACACTCGTTTTGGGTATTTTTGGGTACCAGACAAGACTTGCTGTTGACAGGGTTTGGGTATTAACAGCGCTGCTGACTAGTTGTTCTGTTACTGGACAAACTGATATTTTCTGATGGGATCTGGCGTCCGGGGCTGCATCCTAAATATTATCTGGCGTGGAGACCCAATCTAACACCTCGCTTTTCAGAACGATGAGCTTTGTAAAAATCGACGTGTTTCAGAAAGGCGGGGCATAGAGGAGAAACAATAATGAACATTATGTGAAAAAAAATGTGTTTTTTGAAGCTTAAACCGCATAAACACATTGCATTACACCAAATACACAACATAATGTTCTTTTTAGCAACGTCATATGACCACTTTAATATTTTTGAGAAAACCATGATACATTTTTTTTTAGGATTCTTTGACGAGTAGAAGGTTCAGAACAAAATAATTTATTTGAAATATATATAAATTTTGTATATATATATATATACCCTAACCCTGTCACTTTTGAATTATTTAACGGACAGTTCTGAATAAAAATATGAATTTCTTTCAAAATAGGAAAAATACAAATATTTCTGACCCCAAACTTTTGAACGGTAGTGTGTGTGTAAATGTAAACTTGGGGTTTCAATGCGTACTTCACACTAAAGGAGGTGAGAACTGCATAGATTTCTGTAGCTCCTATCCAAGCCTGTGTCCCCTTCAGTCGATGGTTGAAGTGTGAAGCACCCTGAGGATCTGTACCTTGACCCCACACCTCTTCGATTAAGGCCTGCACTCTCGGAATGCTGGGAACTGAAACTGTGAGGGGAAATTTTATGATGGGTACTATTACAAGGAAAATCAACATGGAGCCAAGAGAATAACATGATGTAACTGATATTATACCAGGTAAAAGGTTATACTGCTCCATCCTGTGCAAAGATGAAAGAAGCATCTGGAAGTTTCTGTAGCCACATCCCCAACCTTTGTCCCCCTCCGATGAAGAGTAGTGATCAGTCTCAGCACAGAGCCACACATGTGCACAGTCAGAGGCGTACTTCTGATAGTACCTACAGAGAGCTTCCATAAGTCCTGAAACAGAAAGGTTACGTTTAAGCCTTGAGCTGTTTTATTTATTTTAATTTACTATTTTTTTTTTTGCATCATTTAAAAAGTAACAGTTACAGTGGCATGCGAAAGTTTGGGAACCCCTTGCAGAATCTGTGAAAATTGGAATAATTTTTAACAAAATAAGAGCGATCATACAAAATGCATGTTATTTTTATTTAGTACTGTCCCGAGTAAGATATTTTACATAAAAGAGGTTTACATATAGTCCACAATACACAAAAAATAGCTGAAATTATTAAAATAACCCCCTTCAAAAGTTTGGGAACCCTTGGTTCTTAATACTGTGTGTGATTACCTGGATGATCTACAACTGTTTTTTATTTTGTGATGGTTGTTCATGAGTCCCTTGTTTGTTAATGTCTTAAATGTCTAAAATCTCTTAATGTATCGTGTTTCCTTCTGGAGCATCAGTGAATGTTTGAACCTTTTTTAATAGTTGTGTTTGAGTCCCTCAATTGTCCTCAGTGTGAAAAGATGGATCTCAAAATCATACACTCACTTTTGGAAGGGGTTCAAAAATGCAAAAGATGCTGGAAAACTAAAGAATCTGTAGAACATGGAGTATTTTTCTGAAGAACAGTGCTCAGTTTAACTGTTCAGAACAAACAAGGGACTCGTGAACAACCATCACAAAACAAAAAACAGTTGTAGATCATCCAGGTAACCACACACAGTATTAAGAACCAAGGGTTCCCAAACTTTTGAAGGGGGTTATTTTAATAATTTCAGCTATTTTTGTGTCTTGTGGACAATATGTAAACGGAGTATTTTTCTGAAGAACAGTGCTCAGTTTAACTGTTCAGAACAAACAAGGGACTCGTGAACAACCATCACAAAACAAAAAACAGTTGTAGATCATCCAGGTAACCACACACAGTATTAAGAACCAAGGGTTCCCAAACTTTTGAAGGGGGTTATTTTAATAATTTCAGCTATTTTTGTGTCTTGTGGACAATATGTAAACATCTTTTATGTAAAATATCTTACTCAGGACAGTACTAAATAAAAAAATAACATGCATTTTGTATGATCGCTCTAATTTTAAAAATTATTCACATTTTCACAGATTCTGCAAGGGGTTCCCAAACTTTCGCATGCCACTGTATATAATTAAAATCCTAATAATAATACATTATTTTTAATTACTATTATACATTATTAATTCATAATATTAAACCCATTAAAATATAATGTATAATTAAGTATATATTAATTAAAAATATATACACACACTACAGTTCAAATGTTTGGGTCAGTGAGATTTGTTTTTCAAAAGAAATTAATACCTTTATTCAGCAAGGATTCATTAAACTGATCAAAAGTGACTGTAAAAACATTTATAAAAGTTACAAAAAAGTATCTATTAATTTTTATTATTATCTATCAAATAATTCAATTATAAAAATGTATACAAAATATTAAGAAGCACAACTGTTTTCAACATTGACAATAAGATTAAGAAAATAACTGAACAGATTTTCAGTCTAATAATTCACCAGTTGGACCAAATATGTAAAGATAATTGGTGTAGCTCTATGATGCACTCTCAATCAGACCTGATGTTTTGCTTCTGCCATCATCCACCCCAGAGGCCAGAGATTCAAGCATCTCCGCTTTTTTCCTGTGGAACTCTGCAGGAACCATCTGACCTCGAGACACAGCCCTCTCCATATTCCTCTCCATTTGTTTGCGATAACCACCACTGTTATCAAGCCCAAACTGCTTCTGAATAGAGTAGCGAAGAGTAATGAAATAACAAAAAAAAACTTTTTGTAGTGGTTTGACACAAGGGTGAGTAAATAATGACAATTTTCACCTTTTAGGTGAACATTGTTTTGAAATCTCACAGTGACATTTTCTTTAGCTAACCTGGAGCTTCTTAAAGTCCTCTGCTTCCCGTCTAGTCTCAGCCTCCCTC